TTTTTAATCATATAGGCTAAAATATGTCAATTTAGGTTAATTAGTTAATATGTAACCAAAGCAAGCCTTGGATTAAGCTGGGTTCAATTCTTAAGGTTCTCTTGTTACATCCTTCAAACCTTATATAATTTTATTTTATTTTTGAGTGATTTCTAGTGATAAAAAGATTTATTTTTTAAATTTTTATTTCAAAATTCAAATTTGAGAAGAGAATGTTGATGCAAATACAGTGTAATGGACAACTAATTTTGTATGGATTTGCGTGCCGAGACAGCTTGACTTGAGAAACCAAGAAAAGGGCCCTCTTTCCATGCTCACTCTAATGTTTCCGCCTGTATTTGCCAGTTACCTGTGAATTAATCAATGTCATATTTGTTGCGTTGTGTTTATTGCGCCTCACACAAGATTTTGATCTCCACATGCCTGCCTGATTCCATGGCTACGATGCCTTAGGAACCTGGTTTAGGGCCTGATTCCATGGCTACCATCCCTTATGAACCTGGTTTAGGAAAAAAATAATAATACCATCCCTTAGGAACCTGGTTTAGGAAAAAAATAATAATAATACTGTTACTGGCGTTAGAAACAGATGATTGCAGTAGTTAGTATGGAACCTGGACTAACTTGAAGATTAAAAAAGATAAACAGCACCTTTTTTAAACCTGGGGAGTAATAACATGTGCAATAATGGCTCTGACTCTGGCAAGGAGGAGTCATATTTGAGAAGATGAAGCACATGCAAGACGGAGGTCCAGTCTAGCACAGTAGATCAATTTATTTCCTAAACTACCAAAATTGAGACAATATTTCCCAGGGTGATCACAAATGATCGAGCATGTGGGACGATCACCCAATTAATTATTTTAAAGATAATTTTCCTTTCCTTTCTTTTATTTCTTTCTCTTCTGGGACACCCACTCAACTCACGTAGACATTTCTCCCTCTTTATGGATTAACTTTTTTAAAAAAATATATGTAATAAAATTCTTATTTATATCTTATAGATAATAATATAATATTTTTCTAATATATCAAGTAACTTTTTTAATATGCCAGCAATGCTCTGCACAGTGCTTTCAATACTTTATTCTTAGTGTGTCATTTTTCACTGGACAATGTTGGGGAGACTCAGTATCTGAACAATGCAATAAAAGATGACGATTGTACTTATCATTCTAGATTATGACATGCATGTGATTTTGATGGTGCAGGCTCATAGACATGTTAATTTTTTAAATAGTTAATTATATAATTTAATTAATTTATAATTGAATTTATATTATTTATTGTAATAAATTATTTTAGTGTTGGGATTAAATTTTTTTAATTATAAATTTATATGCTATGAAAATTAGACAATTCTATTGGCTTGAACTATGGTTGCTATTTTTATGATCATGTGAAACTATGTTTTTGATGAGCAGAAGCAAAAATAATTGAGACATGGAGGGGGTTCGGATTTTAATAGACCGTGCATGTAGACGACTAGTTGTTATGTATTTACTATTAACAAATATTTTAATACATGTGAGAAAAGTATTGTAGTTTTTTCATATTTTTTTTTATATTTTTTTTTTGTTTTTCCCTATATTTTTTCATTTTTTTCCTCATATTTTTTTTTTAGATTTTACATCTTTTTTTCTTTTTTCCCCAGGATTGTCAACTTCTTCTTTTTTTATTCTTTCTTTTCCCTGTTTTGTCATTTATTTTTTGTGTTTTTTCTTTTTTTTTTGTTTTTTTCCCTCATATTTTTTAGTTTTTACATGTTTTTTCCTTTCTTTTTTTCCCAATATTGTCTTCTTCTATGTTTTTGATGAGCAGAAGCAAAGATAATTGAGACATGGAGGGGGTTGGGATTTTAATAGACCGTGCATGTAGACGACTAGTTCTTATGTATTTATTATTAACAAATATTTTAATATATGTGGGAAAAGTATTGTAGTTTTTTTATATTTTTTTTATATATATTTTTTGTTTTTCCCCATATTTTTTCATTTTTTTCCTCATATTTTTTTTTAGATTTTACATATTTTTTTCTTTTTTCCCCAGCATTGTCAACTTCTTTTTTTTTATTCTTTCTTTTCCCTGTTTTGTCATTTATTTTTTGTGATTTTTTTTTGTTTTTTCCTTTCTTTTTTTTCCCAATATTGTCTTCTTCTTTTGTTTTTTATTTTTTTTGTGTTTTTTTAAATTGTCTTTGCTGTTTTCTTTAATATTAAACAGGTTGAGAATTTAGGTAATTTTTTCTTTAAAATATTATAGATTACTATAATGTTTCCCTACATGATTTTTTTATAATTTTTTTTTCAAAATAATCTTTATCTATTTTATTTTTTTATATTGAGCTAGTCAATAATTTTGCTTCATATATTTTTTTTAAAATACTATGAATTGTTACAATATTTTTTTATATGGTTTTTTTTTTGTATAGTATTTTTTCACTTATTTTTTTTAAAATTATCTTTTCCAATTCTTTTTAAATATTGAGTTGGTCAAAAATTTAGCTTTAACTCTCCCTGTATGTTTTTTTTTCTCATTTTTTCTTCATAATTGTCTTCCTTTTCTCATTTTTTTTATGTTTTTGCAAAATTATTTTTGTTAATTTTTTTAATATGAAGCTCGTTGAGAATTTAGTTTATAGTTTTTTTTAAAAACACTATGAATCACTACAATATTTTTTAATTTTTTTAATATGAAGCTAGTTGAGAATTTAGTTTATAGTTTTTTTTTAAAACACTATGAATCACTACAATATTTTTCCACATTGTTTTTTTTTTTAAAAAAAAAATTATCTGTCAATTTTATTTTTTTCATATTGAGATAGTTGAGAATTTAGTTTCATAATTTTTTTCTTTCAAACACTATAGATTGCTACAGTATTTTCCCGTATAATTGTTTTTATAATTTTTTAAATTATATTTTATTAATATTGAAATAGTTGAGAATTATAATTGTATATTTTCTCATGAAATACTATAAAATTGCTACAGTGTTTCTCTATATGGTTTTTTTCCTTACATTTTTTTTATGATTATTTTTAAAATTTTCTTTGTTAATTTTATTTTTTTAATATTAATCTGATTAAGAATTTAAATTTATAGTTTTTTATTTAAAAATATTATAAATTACAACAACTTTTTCCATATATTTTTTTATTTTTTCACAAATCTACAACAACATAAAAACATATCATATATTTATATCGCGCGGGCATAGCATCTCATGTATCCTACCAGGTTGTTGCACATGTAGTGGCAAGGCACCTCCTATAAATCATGTATTTACTACATACGTGATCTAAATATTACGCATGCGCTACATGCACAACTATTCTTTCTGCGTGATCTAAATATGACGCATGCGCTGCATGCGCTACATGCACAACTATTCTTTCTGTGCTAAAGTGAAAATTACTCGAGCTCCAAACACCCAATCAACCACTGTTTTGACTAATTAGATCAGGCCTCTTTTTTTCCCCCTTTCCAGTCTTGAGATGGGTCCTAGAATTGCCACATCTGTTGTTAATGTGTGATAAAACTCCGGCCGAGATGATATGACCAGAAAATTGTCACTTGGGATCTTTCCCCTTACCTCAGGCGTGATATCTACAGCTACAAGCCAGCAAATCCTTTTTATGAAAGCCTGCGGGATCAATCTAAAATATGATGACAAATCTCACAATTGATAGCCAAATGACGTCTTTATTGACTTTACGCACTAACGGCAGCATGCTGCCTTAAAAATTCAGCAACATTCTATTAGCTTTCATCTTCAAGAATTACCATTTCTAGATGATTGTGCTGGGAATTCTCTTGTAAGAATAAAGCACGTTGAAGTTCAAATCTCCCGTAATAAAAGGATTGAATTTTCCTACATCAACAACTCTCAACGAGACTACACCTTTATTAAAGCAAGATCCGAGACGCACAATGACTACTGAATGGCCCAACAGCAATTATTGGCCTCACTCTTTTGGTTTTGATTAACAGGACCCAACATATCAACCCACGTTTTCGAGGTGACACCGTACCATTATCCTTTAACCTGACGCGAAAGGACAAGGGTGCCCACTCTCCTCTCCTTTCTAATCTTATTTGGATTGCTTTTTCTACGCTGCCAGACAGTTAGTATGAGATTTCTGCTTGCCACAGACATTTGAATCTCAGTATTTGAAGCCAGTTTCAAGATAAATACATTCTAACGTATAAATGGCAATCTGTCAAAACTTAAACAGGTGAGATTTCAAAATTTCCTCTATTCTTTCAATAAATGCAGTCAGTCAGTCAGTCAGTCAGACAGAGTCTAAAAAAAAAAAAGAGTACGGCTAGGGATCTTAATAATGTGCTATCAGCCTGCAAAGGACCAGTCGCATCTTTGAGCTAAATTTGTTTAATGCCTTGCATCAGACAAGCAATGAACCATTACCGATCTCTAAAAATCAAAGCCATGCCAATAATCCGAACATTTAGCCAAATAATGTTTAGAAATTTACCACCAAACTACCAGTACATGTGCATGCGCAAATATCCTCCACAGCGTGGACCCGACCTTTAATCAAAATGAGCTGTTAAAGAAATCTATCAATTTGAATATGTAATTTGCTCATATTCCATTCCAATTAGCAAACTCTTCCTCAAAATTTACTCCCAAAACTCCCAAGCTAGGGACAGCAATGGGCTCTCTGGATAGGAATTTTTTGTATTCATACTTCACTTATTACTTATCAAGTAAGAAATTTAATTATTCAAATCTTATTTATATCAATATGAACATTTATTTTACTACTATTTTATATTAATAAAAAAAATTTAACACATGCAGGTGCTCGAGAGCGCGCACATTAGGTTAGGTTTGAGCCGAGTTTAGTGATATCTATACCTTGTCCATGTAACTATCCATGAAAAACCCACCCATTTAGGTTGGGTTGGCATCCATCAAATTCGAATTAAATTATCATCTCGTAAAAAACTAAATAAAGCAAAAGACACATTTCGAGCTGATTCATTGCAAATGCATGCATTCAGTTTGCAAAAAAATATTATAATTAATAGGAAGACTTCTAACCGATTAAGTGATAGCAAACTCTGCCATAAATAGCAGACTCTCATTTGTTTTAGACAACATAAGTGCCAAAATACAAACCACAGGATTGCAGAAACTGTTATGAAGCCTCAGATGGTAGCTGGTTTGTCCAATGGTCGAGAGTTAGGCATCACCAATACAATAAGCCCCTATGACCTGCTCCACAATCAATATGAAACCAATCCACCAATTCTATTTTCCTCAAAGCATAGTAATCTGAAAAATGATTTGCAGAGACAATGGAATTATGAGATGTAAGACACTATCCTAAGCTTTCATTAGGCAACACAAAACAGCACCTTCTCGACTTCATAGAATAAAACGTCTAACAACTCAAGTCAGCAAGACCTCAAAGCTAATCTCAAACCAACTCAAAAATTGTTTCCTGAATTCATAAAACCAAGTTTTAAAAACTATTAAGCATACCATTATCCCAGGATTTACCACTCAGAAAGGCTGAAATCCAATAACTACCAGACATCTCCTCCCTATGATAACTGACTCTCAACATAACTACCTATTTGCAAAAAATGCGCCAAGCATTCGAAGAATTACTGATATCCCAAGACAATTAATCACATACAGAAGTCATATATCCAAAATATTAAATCCTGACCGTCAACCACACCAACTAGGCAACTACCATAGAAAGCCTAAAACCCTAAACCACAAATAATCATAGAAATACTCAAAAACGATACCGTCAAGGACTAAAACGAAACATTTAGGTTCATTTACAATTTATTAATTCAAAATCAAATAATTAAAAAAAGAGTAACTCACAGGCAAAACAGACCACGAATTTGCATTCAATGGTCCTCGCCGAAGAGAAGGCGAAGGCGAGAAGCGAAGAGACCAGAGGAATCAAGAGAGGCTTCGTGAAGGAGGCTGCGCTTTATATTCTTCATGCGATCGGTTAGGTTTTTCTGTTCTTCTTTAAGAGCTATAGTGTCTTCCTGGAGGTCGTGGATTTGGTACTTTTGGCCTAAGGATCTGATGCTCAAGAGAAAAATCCCAGTCATCGCAAAGAGCTGGATGAAGCTGTCTTTGCGTTTCATTGCATTTGCGACTAACCCTAACGATTTTCTAGGGGTTTGAGCTGCATTGCCTGCTGAGCTTGAGGAAGCCATGAGAGCAACTGCAGGAGTTGGACTGCTAGCTGGTGAAGGAAGGGCGAAAATCGATTGGAATCTCTTTCGGCGAGAAATTAGACGGTTTTTTTCTCATCGTCATAATCACGGGCCCGTCTTCACAGGTCGAGACTAAAACCCAGCCCATAAAGTGTACAGCCCAATGAGAGTAGTGATTGCTGGACCCCATCTAAGCCACGCCACAGCCCACTAGGATGGCATTTTGACTCACTGAATAATTAAATTATGATTTCGATCCAATATTTGGGTGTAATTAAAAATCAGTATAAATCAAGAGCAGTTTCTATATTGCTAATTTATGTTTATGGAATCTTTTGAATCTTGTAAACATAAAGAAAAATAAATAGGAAACCGATATTGTAATTTCAAGAAATAAAGAGGTTATAAATAAAACAAGAAGGCATTTGAAAGGTTTAAGATCATTTTTTTTTTCCTTTTTTAATCTGTAATTTAAAAGAAGATACTTCTTGAGAGGCTGACCGGAGCTTAAAATGCATTTTTATATATTAAAAAAAAAACATAGCTAGGGATACCGAGCTGGACCTCTTTATCGACTTGAATCAGGCTTTCAAATTTATATTTAATCATTTATATATTTCTAGTACAATATCTGATAAGCTTTGTGGATCACCGTCCATCTCATATAACGTACCACAGTGGTACAATGGTGTTGTTCTGACTAGCATTTTTAACACAAGCTACATTGGCGTTGTTGTCAGTGTAATCATGATAATGTTTGGTTAAAATCTAAAACAGAAAACGCTTCCACAAGTATATAAATGTCTCTAAAACAGATTTATGTCCTTTTCAGAACATGTCTCTGTCTTTCCTTCAATAGTAACCATACGTATTGTCACATGCAATAATCTGTATTGTACTTGAATATATTACAGATATTATAGAAAATAAAAATCCAACCGAGCGAAGAAGATCCAAAATCATAAATGACCCGAGCAGAACACAAGGAAAACCTCAACCGACTGGTGACCATCCTCATTTACGAGTGGATTAAAAAACGGGAACAAGGAAAGATGAGTAGAATAGTCGTAGAGATTGACAATTAGAACCCGAGATTTATCAAACGATTCAAATCCAAGACCAATAAAATATATAAAAGGATTATAGAATCCCCGCCAAAAGAACACAAACGAACAGAATTCAAGCATGGAATGCTAACTAGCAGCAATTCAAGCCGAAACTGCATCAGAGAATACAACAATATCTTAGAACCAATTCTTGAAATTGTTCAGAACTCTAAAGTTACGTATTAAATCATTTAAAGTAACAATCCATACACAATTAACCCAAAAAGTCTTACCTGCCAACAACCTATAATTTGGAGCACCTCAAGCCCAAAGCTCGATTTTGTACAACATTCAACAGACAGAAAGATTAATTTGAAGGTGACCCAGCAGAGGTGATCATATCCCGAAATTTGTTTGGATCTGTATCACATGAGAAATATCAGAACCATTTCAATACAGAATGGTTAGCACTTGTCCTCCCCATAGTCATCCTGAAGTCGCCGCTGAATATCACGCTGCAGCATCTCTACATAACTCTGCACAAGTGAAATTTATGCACAGCATGTTTAGCAAGAAAAATCACATGCATTAACAGGAGTAAAAATAAGCAGGTGCCTTGACTGCCATCATCAGTATAAACAAGCAGAAAAATATTGAAAGTGTCACAGCACTGAAAGATAGAGAAACATAAAACTTACACTCGCTAAATCCTCATTGTTGTTCAATTCATGCTGAATATCTTCAGCATTGCTTCCATTGCCACTCAACCTCACTGCATTGCCAACAATGGCTTGAAATACATCTTGAGGTGCAGCAAACTGTTCAATCCTCTGAGCCACTTCGTGGAGGTTGATCTATAAGACACATAAGATCAAATCAGTCAAAACAGGGGCCATTTTACCAATTCTCCGAAAAAGATTCCTCGATTAAGTTTAATGAGAGGGCTTGGACACAGCAGCACTTTGCTTGTGTACAGGATTTCATTCTATTCACATAATTTGATTTCTTTTTGTGGGTTATACAAACCTGAATGTTATTATCATTAGGATTTTCAGCTCCAATTGATTCCCTCTCATTGGATCTCTTCTGGGGTTCAGATTCTGGGGTAGGAAACAGCTGGGGAGTAGGCGATCCATGGCCAAGAACCTGGGAAACAACAGGCATCATTTGTTGGACCATCCCTGACAGATCAAATCCGCCGCCTTGGCCACTGCCTAAACCTGAGAACATATTTCCTAGATCTTGGCTGTCAACCTGCTGAGCAATCTGACTGACAGTATTCATTATTTGGGGATTCTGAGTGAGCTGTTGCAACATGTTCCTCAAGACATTGGGAGAACCAACACCGGTTTGTTCTGAAATCCCTGCAAACAAATTATTCATAACAGGACTACGTAGAACCTGAGACATAGCACTAGCACTGTCAAACTGGCCATCAGCACTTAAATCTCTTGGTTGTCTACCCTCCATGACCTGCCCATGAAGGGGGGCTACAGGATCTGGGGGTGTGTCATGTGCACCAGTCCTATTTGTACTAGAGCTGCGAGATGCAAGAGACTGTAAAAGCTGTTGGCCACTGATTCCAGCTTCTGGGTTCCGATTGAAATGGGTATTGGTTGTTCCACTATCACCACTACCACGTGAGTTTGGCTGCTTGGTTCGTCTCTAGTCACATCAACAAACAGAGATCAGTTTTTTCTCTCATGAAAAAAAGAAAAAATAGCCATGTGGACAAGTAAAGCATGAATGACAGATGCAATAATCAATCCACAAAGTCAAGCCTGGCAGAATGCAGCAGGCACTTATTTCAATGTCAAAATAGGACAAGCTCACGCCTAATACTCACACCTCATACAGCATTTCACGCTGCAGACACCTTTCACTGTTTACACAGTGATAGCACCAAGAAAAAATGATGCATCTTGTAGCGTCCATTTCAGTAAGCATTTCAAAACTCCAACACCACAGCCTATTCCTTGATCTGTCAACAGGTCCTCGTGTATAATTGAATACATCATAGATAACTCAAAAATAAATAAATAAAGAGCAGTTACCATACCTTGCGGTCCAAGCTCCCCAAACCCAAACCAAGTGGAACAGCTTTAGTGCTGGAACTGGAAGCACTATGAGAAGTATCTTGAGACTTCTGAGAAGTTTCTACAGTAGGACATTCCACTGAAGAAGATGATATATTCACTGAAGATGATGGTATGTTCACTGAAGAAGACGATACGCCCACTGAAGGAGATGGTATGTCTTTCAAGCTCAAAGGATCATTGTCATGTACTTGAGCCTGTTAAGACATGGTATTCTCTCAACAATTTAGTACTAGCCAGAAAAAAGTAACAAAGACGATCCCTGAATAATGCAGAAAGCAAACCTTCTGGTCATGGCATTCTGACATAACTCCAGGTAATGACACATTAGATTCCCCAGCTCCATTCACCACAGTGCTATTCATCTGTAAGTTTATTGGATTATTACCTGCTACAGATCCAGCAGAGCCTGCATAATAAAATACCAATATTATATGATCCTCAGAAAGTAAAAGCAACAATATATCTTTGGCTTTTTACTATTGACCATTCGACAGTTACCTGATGCGGGCTGGTTTCCTCCTTGCCTATTGCCAGCAAGTTGTCTCAGTTGCGAGTTTATTCCGCTCATTATAGAGCTTAATGACATGGAATCAGAAGATGGCTGTGAATTTGAAAGCCCAAGACCAGGTTGTGCAGCAACTGTAACACCTGCTGAGGGTGAAGGGACTGTTGCTGCAACAACATTTCTTGCTGGCAGCGGCTGCTCTGGGCCTGAAACACCCAAACCAGCAGCATTACCATGTTCTCCCTGTATCCCTGTACCGCTTGTCCTGGTACCTATGGTTGGAATAACAGATGCCAGCGAGGTCCCTGGTAATGCAGGAGTGTCAAACAGACTTGAAAGCAGGTAAGCAGCATTGTGAACAAAGAAAGCTTGTTTTGCTTACCAGCATGTATATGAATGTTTACATGCCTTGGAGCATTTCCAACACCAACAGGACCGAATGCCATGGGATTCGATGGCGGAACCAAACTACCAAAAAGGGAATTGGTTTGAAGAGGAAAAGGCTGCAAAGAATTTAAAATTAGAAAACAGTGTGCCAAGCTGGCATCTAATACAGAAATTAAGCTACAATACAGAAAATCCACTCAATGATAATAGTACACACAAGAGTGCATGTAAGGAAAGCCTAACAGGTAATTGAAAGAGCCAAACAACAAATTTTTCTTATGCATAAATGACAATCACCAATCAGTTATACATGAGATAAGCGATGTATCAATTTATATTCTAACACAAAATTCATTCATGATACTAACACCCTACCACCATGATTCCAACAGCAAGTGAATGAGGCCCTATCTATTATTTTTAATGTCGCCAATCATTAGTGAGATAAGTTAATGCCAAAGTAAGCAAACTCATAATTTCAAGAATGGTTCACAAACCTGGACCATTATGGGATTAGGCCCTGATGGAGAAATATAAACAGCAGGCCCAGCATTTACAGAAGGTTCCATCTGCAAAATGTAACAAAATAATTATACATGATGTTCAATCATTACTGAACTGCTGAACAGACTTAAGGTTAGAACATACTGGAGGTTGTCCCATACGTAGCGTCAAGATTGTGCGACCAAGCTCCAGAAAAAGAGCACCTAAATGTTGCATTGCAAGGCCTACTTGCATTGTTTCTGTCTGAATTTGACCCCTTATAGCAGGATCAGTAGAGGAACCATTTTGTTCCAGGCATCCTGCAGTATGCTACGACATTGCAGCACATTATAAATAATGCATAATCAGATCACAAACTTATCAACTCCACATAAATTTATCTCTAGCATTAACAAATAGGAGATTGATTTATCTCCAAAATCTTGATGTAAATTTACACATCAAGCCCTAAAAATGAAAAAAAAAAATCCATTCATCACATGAAATTCAAAATGGATTTACTAAATTACCAAGCATAGCAATGTTCGTGATTCTCAAACTACAAACATATTGAAGCATGCCCCTGATGTTAATAAAAATAAACGCTATGCAGTAATACCCCATTGATAATTAAAAATAATTAGCATCCTCATATTAAGTCATTAAGATACCCATAACTACATTTAAATGTCTATATAGACCGTATGTCTCACAAAGTAATTTATGGCAGTGAAATTCACTGAATCCAACATCATCGCATAATCATAGTAAGGTAAAATGAATCACAAGCATTTAGCAAGTTCGACAAGATATGGGTAGTCAAGTCCAATTATTGAAATGCTAACATCAAATTCAAATTAAAATGCTGATTCAACTTCGGACATGTATAGCCACAGATTCAAGAGTCCAACAATAAAATCAGATAAGGAAGGGGAAATCAAAACAAATTGTTTACAGATAATGCAGTTGTTGCAGGACCACTGAGAAGCCGTGCTGCATGACATAAGACAATGCTCAATGCTTCAGGCGTCGGATAGCCCCGTGCATTGGAAGGTAATTCTACCCTTGGTGGGTCTTCCATGCTTGTTGTTGATGTATATGGCTGATTACCTAGATGAAGCAAATGAGTTATTTTCAGCATCTTCAACTGAAAATGCATAATAAGCATATACTTTTGCTGTCATCACCATTTTGAGCTAGCACCCGTTCCATGCGTGTAATGAACTCGGAAAGTGTGTTCAAAGAATCAGGAATTGGCTGAAACAAAAAGGACAAGTTTAAAATACAGTATAGCTAAACACATCACAAATATGCAACTGAAGGAGATTTTAGTACCGAATGAAGTGAAGGAACAGGTATAGCTGCAGACAGAGGAATTTGCACAACTTGAGGTGCTGATTGAAATGGCTGGCCAGATCGTGTTTGATTTCCTGCAGAGCTCTGACCACCAACATTGCCACGAGATCCACCAGTTTCACTTCCCTGAGAAGCTAGACCAGTAAAATTTGGCTGTGAACAGAACACAAGTAACTAATTTAATCTCTCACATTCCACCCTGATGTCATACATGCACTCTAAATTCTCACACTTGTAACAATATGCAAACTAATATGAAAGCCAGAAGCTGGAAATCTAAATATAAACCAGAATTTCAATACAGTAATAGTATCCGAATTGATACACTTAATAGAACCTTTCCACTGAGCAGAAAGAGAAGAAATTGGAGATTCTACTTGGGCAATTAATGCTGGCCATGGCCTGATCAGAAATCGTAATTATAGAATTAACATATGAATAGCATAGCAGAATTAGCACCAATGAGCACAAAGAATGAAGATTTGCAGTCAAGATGTTTTAAACATTTTCTTTTTTGTGGGGTCAGTATGGTGAAAAAAGTAGGCTTCGAACCCAAGCCTACCCATCCCATCCTGGTTAGTACCAAGTTAATTCTTAACAACACAAAAAAGGAATGATGGGATACAATGCCGTCAGAGGTCAAGTTTTAATTACATAATTTATATGGATTAGAAAGGTATAGCGATGAACAAGAGTTGCAAGATTATACAAAATAATAATCAGTGTTTACCATATTTGATGATTGCATGCCACCTATGCTGCTGGTTGCTGTCTGGCCACTAACTCCAAACAAGTTTAGAACAGCCCCAATAACCTGATGTCAAGCAACAATAAATATGAGTTTCTGTTAATACTAACACAAAAATGGTCTCCACATTCTTTTGCTGCCACTAACCTCAACTGAACATCAAATAAAGATACACATTGTTCCAGCAGAACTATCAATGAGAAATTAAAAGGAAAAGAAAAGAAACGCACCCGAGAGACATCCGGAACAATGCCTTCCCCTTGGTCCCCATCATTAAATGTCTCAAGAACCACACTGTGAGATAACTGCCCACTGCGATTTCGAGGCGCACTAGCGCTTGCATCGTTTACTGTCATTTGAAAAATTAGAAGAGAAAACTATCAATCCAAAGAACATCTTCAAATCCAGATTACTACACAAGAAAAATAATTAAATATCAATACCCTGATTACTATTATTCCCCATTGTATCCCCAGAGCTTGTACCAGCTGAAGGTTGTGGTTGGGCAGGCTGCCTTGCAACCACGTGCAGTGTATGCCCATTTTCCACTTCTAAAAACAGTCAAGGGATTTACTGAAAATAGTAACATAACACAGCCAGTACTGACAAAGGAAAAATCCTCAGTGTCCTTAAAAGTAGAGTGATCTGAGATGATAACATAGAGTGGGATATGATAAAATCCGACTCCATAAAATAATGTATCCAATGATGGCCAAGTGTGGGATATCATAGTATCCAAATCATAAGAAGAATGCATGTGATAACTAACAACGAGGTGCTAGCCTCCCATAACTCAGATTAAAAGGATGTGCCAAATTTCAGGTCTCATGACACCCAACAATACATGAATCTATCTTCCAGCAAATCAAGCAAAAGACCTATAGAACACAATAACTCAGATAAAGTGCAAGTGACTAAATTCCCCGGCATAAAGAGGGCCTAAAAGTTAGAATAGCAGGCGCAGCCTTTTTGATGCTTGAAAGATGGATACGATATTCGGAAAGGAGATGTTCATCCTTCAAAACCCTTCCCCTGAAAATCAGCCGATGCTGACTCACAGGTATACTGATTTCATTTGCTATTTTCTCCTTGAATACGGAAACTGGCATCTGAAGATATTCAAAATTAGGATTGTATTAGACAGTCCAGACAAAAACATTTATGCAACCGACAACACGCACCCTTTAAATGCTCTCTTAATAAACTTTGAAATGCATGGGACCACATTGAATTATTTTTATCGACCCTAAGACATGATCTCTTGGATCCAAACATTCAGAAAGTTTTTCCACAACAGGCACACTGCATGAATTAAGGTTAAAGCTATCATTCAAAATTATTAGAAGACAGTCCAAAAAACTTCACTTCAGCAATTAAATATGAATTAAAAAACATAAACAGTACAGATCAAAACAGGAAATGTCAATGGCACACAATACTTACATTTTTGTCAACCTGAAAACTATAAATCTGTGAATCTAAAGTCTTGATATTGAGCTCTATAGTTGCATCTGAACCTTCTCCAGAAACATGGCTTGTGCCAGAGCCTTCATGAGAGTACACATTCTCCATAGTACCTCAGCAGCTAACAAAACTCAAACACGATAATATTACAAATAAGATACACTATCCAGGTAAGTAAATTTCTATGTGCCAAAGAAAAAGGTGGCTCAATTTTTCCTGATATGAGCACAATTAATGTCTCAAAGAACTTAGGGAATACACAGGTGCCAGGAGACAAAACTACTAAAAGAGCAAGGCAATCAGTCTTTAATATGCATCTAATAAGTTCATGATAGGATGGAAGCCCAAAATGAAAATAAATAAAGAAAGTAATAGATTAATTAATGAACATTTTATATACATAATCATTTGCTCAACATGAAGGATGCTGAACAGAGCACTCTACTCTAAAAACATTAACCGACTTATAGTCATCTAGCATCCCTTTTTCTGCAAGCAATTATTCATTATATGAGCATTGTCAACCAGGGTTCATCTCTTTCCAGTTCATAATTACATCCTTGTGTATCAGGGCTCAGGATTGCCATTAAACCTAAAATACCTTTTGAATTCCCAGCTGTAGTATGAAACCGTTTCTGGCCCACGAGGACTACCTAACTGGAGAACCATTTATCCCATTTATAAGCAACCATCAAAACAAAAGTTTATAATAATTACCACACCTCTCCTTCCCAAGCTAAAAGAAAGTTTCTGATGTAACGATGACATAAATGACAGAACAAAGATACTCCAACTACTAAATAATCTGCCATCCAATTCTGTAATTTCCTACTACGCAGCTCTCCTTTATGTCTTAAATCGCAACAATACAAAAACAACCCTATTATCCTTTCCCTTTTCCTTTAAATGGAAACGTGATAAAAGATTTCGTTATTTACAGCATTCATCTAAATAAACCAGATTTCTGACATCCTCCTAACCTTTATAAGCATATCCAAATCAGGAGTCACGACTCATGATGAGTGACAACATCAAAGTCCTGACTTCATCATTAAATACAATCAATCAAAAACACAATTCCAAACTAACCGGAACACTTCAAAATTCCACACGCCCTCTCCTCTCCACCAAAACCACCCCCTTTCCACAATAAATAGAAATCTAAATCAGCTCTAAACTCAGAACAATCAACATAAACTCAATTTTGGCGCAAACACACCACATGAGCAAGTCTAGAAACCAAAATATCAAAGATAATCAGATGCCAACATCTGCATGACCAACTCCTAGGGTTTAAAACAACAAACATGCAAAACCAAATTTTGAAGTGAAAAAAAAAAAACCTGAGGCATCTAAAATCATTAATACACTGCTAATTAACAATCATATTATAATTTAACAAATAATAAAAATCCTAACGTAACAAAACAACCACGTTTCCAAGTCCTCGTCAACTTTTACGGCAAAATAAATTCCGATGAACCGTAAGCAAAAACTGGCTTTGCTTAGGGTTTGTTTGGAGAAATAAGACGAACAATCCGGAAAGAAATTCTGAAGGCAGACCTTTGATTCAGTTTGCGAAGACGGAGGGATCGGAGAGAGGGGAGGAGAGGATGAAGTGGTTTCTGGAAGTAGAATTTGAATTTGATCGGAGGATAACTTCGAGGTTAAGCGACGGGATTCTAGGGCCACAACCGGGCACGCGGAGCCGGGTTAATGGATCAGCAACGTTCCAGGAGAATCTAGATTTATAAGGCTACCTCGTAAAAGAGGAACCAGCACGAGCAACAGTGGGTTGACAGGAGTCAAAGGTCTTTCCACGACGTCGTTAGGACGATTGGCCGTTGGCGGAGAAGCCTGCCAGTTTCCATGTTATGTTCTGGTCTGGTCCGGTATAACGAGATTGGAAGTTGAAAACCATGGTCGTCGGGTTACTCTACGGGCTTCCGACCAATCTAGGCCCAATATTTTCAGCCCATTAATTAGAATAACTAGGCTGTCGTCCCTCACATTGCCCTTTCGCTTCCCATGTGTAGTTAATGGATATAATAGGCCTAGCTCCTTCTATGGTTAAATTAATTTTGAAAGTTTAAAAAAGAAAAGGAACACATGTTAACTTTATTAGTTTTAGTTCAGAATAATATAATAAATTAAAAAATATATATTAAACACGTTTTTCTGTTTTTTTTTTTATTTACTGTTTTAGTGATATTTTCAAAACTTTTTTCATTTATTTTGGGAAAAAATATTTTATTTTAAAAAATAAAAAAAGATAAGATAATTAATTTATATATTTATTCTAGATTTATTTATTTATTTTGATATTCTTTTAGTCTCAAATTTGTTTATTTTTTCAATTCTTGTTGCTTGTTCGTGCTATTTGTTTTTATCTTTTGTAGCTAGCTTGTTTTAAATTTTATTTAAAAAAAATAAAAGGAAAACCTTGTGAAATAAATAATATGTAAAATTTATTATTTTGATATTCTTTTAGTCTCAAATTTGTTTATTTTTTCAATTCTTGTTGCTTGTTCGTGCTATTTGTTTTTATCTTTTGTAGCTAGCTTGTTTTAAATTTTATTTAAAAAAAATAAAAGGAAAACCTTGTGAAATAAATAATATGTAAAATTTATAAAATATAATCAAACATATAAAGTCAAAACCTTCATGAAAAAATAAAATAAAAACTCGTGTCAATGAAGTAAAATACATATCTATCATAATTAAGCGTGTTTAATAAGTAAATTATAATTTTATAGTTCACTTGATATCCTTATGTTGTTTATTGTTTTACGAGAGTTAAACAACCAATATAACATTTTCTAATCAGTTTATGCAGTGAAGATAGTACATGTTAGTAAAAATCATTTTATTTATCGAGGTAAAAAAAAAACAAGTGCGTGGATTAAAAAAAAAAGTTTCAAGAGGTAAATAAACGAAAAAAGGGGGAAATAAATTAATATTCTATTATTATTTTACCTGGAATTGAATTTAATATGTATATCATTGACTTGACAGTTAACAATATAAATGTTATTATATCAATGATATTTTAAAATTCAATATGTTTATGAATAAGATTTTTAATTAATAAATATGACATTCAACCAAACTCTTGTCTGCCTGGATTTAAGACGTGGTTAATTTCAATAATATTAGTTAGGTGGAAGTCATCTTGCTATTTTCCCATACCTAGAAATATTGAATATGAATATAAATCTCACCCTCCCATCACAGAATTATTACCCTGTTTATAACTCTCCTAAACATGATCTTGGGCTAAAAAATAGATTTTAAAAATATTTTTATCCATCATAAATCATAATAGAGAAACGCGCCAGGCCAGAAGTCGACTATCGCGCAAGTGTCAATCACATGCAAGTAGATGTTGTTCGTCCGTGATCGTATTCTGATCTGGACTCCAAGATCAATCTTTGACCTCTTGATCTCTTTATGCTGACAGCTATTGTCTCATCATCCACGTGCATGGAGAAACCGATGCCTTGGCTAACGTGGGTGTTGATCTGATACACAAGCCCCTGCATTTTAAAGAGAGAGAGCGGAGAACGGAGAGCGGAGAGGGAAGGTTCATGACAGGATTTGTGTAAGCACACGAAGACTATAATATATTCTGAATTCTGCTCGATCTAGCACGTTTATCTTAAAAACTAGTAATTTGAAGGGCGATACAGGCTAGTCTTTTTATTTCAATAAAAACAGTTAATATCGTGTTTTTTTCAAATACAAAGGATGTTAGTTTTTTAAATATAGAAACAGTTACTAATTTTTTAATATAATATTAAAACTTTAATGATTAAATGATTATAAATTTAAATTTTATTGTTTCTATTTATTTAATAAAAAATAAATATAAGATAATATAAACTTATATAAGTGTTAGGTTTAAATAACTTTCACTTAAAAAAATATGTTAAAGAATAATATAAATTATATTATAAAATATTAACTAACTACTTAAGTTATTGAGTTTAAATAGTTATTTGATAAATATACATTAAACAATTTCAAAGATGTATATTACAAATACTTTAAAACGAGTATGAAAAATACTATAGCTTTTCTTATATGTTTTTTTTATGTTTTGATTTTTTTATTGTTTTGTCTTTTTTTTTATTTGTTTATTCTCTCTCTTTTACTCTTGTATTTTTTTGGGTTTTGCTTTTTCTTTTTCTTTTTCACCTAAGATTGTCTTCTTCCTCTGTGTTTTTTTATTTTGTTTTTTCAATTATTTTAATTATTTTTTTAATATTAAACTGGTTGAGAATTTAATATTGTAATTTTTTTTAAACATTATTGATTACTACAATGTTTCTCTATATGATTTTTCTATGAATTTTTTTTCAAAATGATCTTTATGGGTTTTATTTTTTTATATTAAGCTAGTTGAGAATTCTTTTTATATTTAAAACACTGTAAATTATTATAATATTTTTTCACATGGTTTTTATTTTGCTATAGTGTTTCCCT